TCCTCCTCCTCCTCTACCACCACCGCCTCCACCCTGACCTCACTCCCCACCCTTCTCATACTCTAGACACACATTCATTTCTACCCACTTTACAAACAATTCAGATACGAATTTAGATCAGAAGGAATGGAAAGCTTTTAACCCTCCCAAAAAATATCCCAATGTTCTGAATCAGACTTAGGGCCAGGTCACTGGGAGCATTATTCAGTGTCTGCACACCTGTACACTCTAATCCCCCATTCAATCGCAGTGCTTTTACAGTCCCTAACCGAAAACGCCCAGCAAAACTCCAGGTGTATTCCCTAGGGGCGATCTAACGGCGAATATTGTAGACAGCGTCCGTTTCCAGACTTTCGCTTAAGCCCTGTGTGTCTGCAAACGAAATCGGAGCCATTCTAAATACGTTTAATGGAGTTTGACCCTCCCGTAATGGGTTTATCGGCTAGACACTCAGGCTACTTTAAACCTTACCCGTAGACCGCTCCGACCCCTATGGTGACCTTCTTTCCTATCATCTTCCAATGTTATTATTCTGTTGGCCGTCGGTGTGTCTTTGTATATTTTTACTTGTCTTCTCTGGTTTTCTTTTCTGCTTGAACTTTAAAAAGAAGCACATCGGCACGTTAATATGCAATATATTATTATTATTATTATTATTATTATTATTATTATACTCTCTAGGAAAGAATATAAGACAGAGCTTAGGAATGTTTTTGAAAAGTTAGCAGAGATGAAAACTCAGAAGCGTACTATACCACGCAGTCTAATGAAACTTGTTAGTCCCTTACAGACAGTGAACGATTTTGTCACTGTGTTAGTGTTTAAGCATTTAATAGGCTGCTTGCTTATGCTCCCCATAAGCCGAGAATATTATTTGTGGGTGCCCTGGGGGTCCGCTGGGGTAGTTTTAAAGCGAGCAGAGTATGTTGTAGATAGTAGAACATGGATGATGACATACACGCGCTATATAAATGCAATTATTTATTATTATCATTATTATCATTTTCATTATCATCATCATTTTATTATTATT